TCTCCGTGAAACGCGGATTCCTTTTGCCCAAGGGACCTCGTGAGGTCCCTTGGGCAAAAAGGAGAAATGGCTGGGGAATCCTCGGAGCCCGAGGAATTTCCTTCGGAGTGTTTTCACTTCTTTTTTTTCCAACTGCAACCCCGAGGATAAGTGGAACGAACAACTCCTCGGGGACTTTACGCGCCCGAGGAGTGTCGAACGAGCCCCAGAGAGAGAGTACTTCGAGAGTAGGGGTGACAGGGAAGAAGAGGCCCCGATCTTGTGTAACCCGCAGAAGAAACGAAAACGAGGCGGACCATTGGAGCACACAAAGAGTAGATGTGCTAGATTTCTGAGGCGAAGTCACAGTTACCCGCATGCCCAATTGCAGACCGTAGATGATTACGAATCATCGTACCGAGAATTGAACGGAGTAAAGTGACGAGATTCGAGCCCTGCACCTGAAAGCTAATTGTGGTAATACGAAGGCCATAGAACTCTCTGTCCCTTCTACACTAAAATCGTTGGGCCCAATAATATAAACCTTGGGCACTGTGCCAAGAAAATGAGTCGTGGGCCCAAGGTGCACGCACAGCGTTACACAGACACAGGGCATACTCACACTACGATTTTGTTTTCCGATTTTTCTAAAGAACGGGACGTGATCGCTACCGCATTCATCCCACCTGTGGGCGCAATGGCAGTCAGATGCATTTCCGAAAGGCCAGACTCTGAGTATGGCCACAGACAAGTAGCGGCGCATGGACACATCATAAGACTCATGCGATAAAACCGTGGTATGCAACTGTTTTCACAGAGTCCACAGCCTGACCAACCGTCCCGCTCTACAAAATGCATCAGACCGCAAAGACATCCACATCACGACAAGTCCTACTGAAACGGCATCCAAAGGAGGCACACTAAATGGCCCAATGACAACGGCCTGTGCACTTGACGAAATCTGATCGCCGACATATGCGGATAGCGTTGCACCGTGGTAGCTAGCTATCACGATAAGATGCTGGTGGGACCTCGCCCCGTATCTAGCACGGGGACACTGGACCCGATGTCCTGCACTAGTAGTGATAAATCTTGAGGAGCTGGTGACTTTTCAAGCTTGACTCGTAAGCGAAACTGGCTGATGTAGGACCCCTGCAGCTCTGGTGGTCAGTCGAGCACGGAGCCACTCGCTCGAAGGGGTTTCGGAACAGAAACTCAGACGCTTCTGGAAAGGACTTACTGTAACCCCAGTACAGAAGCATGCCAGTATAATGTGGATTTTGTAACTGCCACGGCAATCTGGCTATCCACTAAGGGAATGGACGTTCCCACCACCTGTCAGAGATGCCACTGGGGGTGGGAAAACATGGTTCATCTCTGGATTCTCTGCCCATTAGCAGATGAACATCTTATGTGGTGGAAAAGGCACTGGCTCCACATCTTGGGAGGCGCATTTGATTGGTCAGATATGTGGATGTTATCAGGCCTCCTCCCTTCAGGACTTAGCTACTCCTCAGAACTTGGCTACCTAGCCCTCGTATGTCGAGGGGTAATCATGGACGCCATATGGACAGCAAGAAATGCAAGAGTTTTCCACAACGAAATACTACCTACCTGTCAACAACAGAGACTTATTAAGAAGAACATCAGGCTGATAATGAGAGCTGATTGGCAAAAGAAAATCTAATCTGGTTCCGGAGAACCTGGGCTAGAGGTAATAAATTGGCCACAGTGAACCAGGAAGGTAGAATGACCATCTGCAAATGGCTCTCGGACACGTGTGACGAAGCAGAGGGATACAACTGTTACTGAGTTTCTTTCTTCTTGAATTGGTTTGAAATAGCAGCATTTAATTTCAGTCTGAGAGTACAGAGTCAGGGCATGAGACCAACAGGCTAAGATGTTAGCAGATTAGTTGCCCTGCACCTTTTTTCTGAGCTTTAAGGGATTTTTGAGAGGAATAGTAATTTTAACAGAGTAGCTGGGACCCTGGACCCGGTTTCCAGGAGGTTTCACTTCGTGGGTTGGTCCCCACCAGGTTTCATCCGGGTTGAATTGTGAGGTCCCCCGCCTCATTGATTACTCTGCTTTGGATATATAAATAAAGTATCTTCTCAAAAAAAAAAAAAAAAAAAAAAAAAAAAAAAGAAACTGGCTGATGCTGCCAGGATAACTCCGGGTTGAATTGTGAGGTCCCCTGCGTCGTTTCAATTGTTGCAATAAATTTGAAAGCTTTCCAAAAAAAAAGGTTGCTTTCAGGATCTCAAAAACCACAAGTACCTCCCCCACTGTTGGGAAATTAGGTGATGCTGGCCAGTACCCGAACTTTTCGGGGGTCGGACATAGGGTCGGCAATGTCCCATAAATCATAATTTTCTTTTGACCATGCACGAAAGGAAAAGGAAAAAAAAAAAAAAAGGCCTTTGTACTGCAATGATGTCGGGCAGGGTAGTCTAGGAGGCTGTCTTCACTGTCTTGAATGCATCTCACCACAAAGACGGTCACATTCTGAAACTTGTCGTTTTCTCTTTTTTATTTCTGTTTTGTTTGTTATGTGTCCTCTGCCAACGAGGCAGGGCTGAATCCGTGATCTGCTCTAGCTGTGTTTCCTCAGATGATTGTTACCCTGATGCATCCATCCGTTTTCAAGGCCGCATCCGTGTTTCTATTTTTTTTTTTCTTGTTTTCTTTTTCTGGAATCTGACAATCTGAATCGGTGATCTGCTCGAGCTGTGTTCCCTCAGAGGATTGTAACCATGATCACACTGGCAATTAACGGGAATGTATCTTGCCATTTTCACGGCCGAATCCGTGTTT